TCAAAAATAATGGGACAATATGGATATGGACATTGGAAGAAGCTTTCGCCCTGTACTGGGTGCGAGAAGCCGCGCGTAGAGAACCGTGGGATCTTGCCCACACAACTTTCGCGATACTCTATGTTTGCGTCAGCCTCGCTGTACTTTTGTACGTCCTATTACGGCTTGGACTTCTCGGTAGGACATCACCTTTCCAAACCTTCCAGTCCATTCATTCAACTAGTTTTAATTTTCTAGCACTGCCGAGGATGGGAGCTCTCCCTGAATCCGTGGTCGCTGCCGCTCCTGCCATGATCAGCCTCATGGCGGCGGAGTGCCTTCTAGTGTTCACAATCGACGTCGTATGTGATCTTCTAAATTTGCCATTGAATTGGTCACACAAATGTGAGCGCGATCCTACCAACCGCCTTCATTTTTTCATTGCTAAGGCATGTAGTCTCTGCTGCATTGGTAGTCAATGTGCCTTTTCTCGCCTTCTTCCGCGGTGAAATTTACCGGTATCTCCTACGTAGCTTCCAGGATACCAAGCATTCTTTTCGCCGTACTCCACCGAAGAGAGCTTTCCAGCGTCTATTCGTCAACGTCGAGAAAAATTTCAGTCTAACATTTGCTTGTTCGTTGAAGATATGACCGGAGAAAAAGTCCTTAAATACCCAAAAGCGATCCAGACCCTGCGAAATATGTCCGTAAGTAAGAACGAGCAGGCTAAGGTTCTTTACGAAGCAATTGAAAGGCAACAAATGAAGATCACACTGCAACAACAGATCATCGCCTGTCTGGAGTTTCGGCATGCTTTAGAAGAGCTACCGAACATGACATCGACAATGCAACTTCCTCCGCGCCCTGCCCATGGCCACGCTGGTGCCTGGAAGAGAACATGGAGACTTGCTGTGGAATGTGAGTTGGACGAAATGATTAGAACCTATATCAAGCCGTCTATTAAGAACTCAGTTACAGAAGAAGCCTCGACAGAGCTCCCAGCATCGGCAAGTGAAGAGGCCCCTGCAGAACCCCCAATACCTGCAAATGTGGCACCAAGAAATGCTAGACTGTCTCTCAGAGAATTACTGAAATTCGATTTTGACAATTGGGCGAAAGGGTCAGCGCTGCTAAAAGAGGCCAGGAGGACAAAGACAGTCTCTAAGAGCGGGAAACCCAAGGGTCGTAATGGAGAAGTCCAGGAAGTGGCAAACAACGGTTACTCCTGCGGGTTGAGCGATTCAAACCTTTTTGATCTTCCAGACGGGAACATAGAAGCGGCAGGCTCTCTTAGCATAGGTACCATAAACCCAACAAACGGAAGGTTGTCACAGCTAACCAAAGCAGTAGAGACTAAGGGTTGCAACATCACTGGCGATGAAGATACTGCAGTTGTCGCACACACCGCAGGAACCACCTTAGGCACAGCAGACAGCACAAACTTCATTGAAAGCACAGGCACTACAGCAGCCGTTGAGGAAATTAAAACACCTTCAGATTATCAAACATCTCCAGATATTGCATCTAATGGCGTTCCAGCATCTGCAGAAATCTCAGTACCTAAAGCTACAACGACAAATGATACTCCAAGCGCCGAAGACACAACAAGCGCAACAGGAACTAAACGAGAATCAAACCCTAGGCGCAGATAAGGCAAATCACGAGCTGCAGGCGTCGCGGAAATCAAAGCAGATGATGATACCGACGAGGTTGTGATCATAGCTCCCCAACGTGTCGTACCAGGGCGAGAAAATACATTATCACCAACGACACAAATAGTGGAATCTCAGACAACAGGCAACTTCAAGCTGGTCGATAAATTCCAGCCCGACTACAAGACGTGGCCAAGCTTCCACCGTGGGGACAATCTGTATCATGATCTTAGCAGAAACATTCACGGGTACGGCAAGTCTTTCGATGCTCACGGGGTCAACTTTTCTAGTTCGGACATGCTCATTTTCAACTGGCTCAGACCAGACCCTGAAGATTTTGACCCCCAGACCAATGAGGTTATGTGGCGGAAGGTGTGGGAGAATAGAGGTCTCAGTCCTTAGTCGCCTGGGCAGTCGGTCGAAGTCTTCTTGATATCTACCTTGTCTTGCGAGTGCAGTGGTCAGCCGAAAGTTTCTTATGTCGTTTCATCTACATTTTACTAGCCTAGAAGCACCCTGCAAGTATACTAGCTAGCTAGGGTTCCGTATGGCCGTTCACACTCTGAGATGCCAGATCTGGGTTAAATTCGGGGATATCTGTAGAGTCATAACAGCACCAGAACGCGTCAAGATTCATTCGACCTTTACTATACTCTGCCTAGGTGGAGCGATCCATTTTCGGGATTGCTTGACTATCGGTGTTCTTTTCGTACTCTGGACTTCAAACCAATGGAGTAGTTAGCAGGCGCTTCCGGCTACGATTTTACTATAAGATCGGAGCATGCTTGGTCGTAGTGCATGGATTATGTTCGTACGGCCAAGATGATTCGTGAAGTGACTAGGACTGTTTGAATAGCGGACGTATCGACCGAGGAGTGCGGAGCATGCACTTGTTTAGTGTACACATCTCCCAGTATATTTAGCGACAAGACACAGTCGTGCATTTCATAGTATGGAAAAGATAAGAGCATGGAATCAACGTGCCTAGTCACTAAAGTCAGCCGGGTTTCGGTTGCATCAGGCAGGCTGTCTTGACCGGTGAGTGCACCCAGGAGGCAACGCAACTCATCCGTCGGCCAGGGTCCTCGGTGCCAGAAGAGCGGAAGCGACTGCGGTCTGGTGAGGTGCTCGAGCCCTTGATGAAGAGTATCAGATACGATGCCGTAGTGCATCAGAGGCAGGCTTCGCTCGAAGGACGTGCAGCCCATCTACATTACATTCGGTTGCCATTGGTAATTTCCATCGTCACGGACCCCAACAAAGGCAGGGATGGGTGAGGTCTGTGGCTGAAGACAGCGTTGCCCGATCGTTGTCACGCCGTCGTATGCATAATCAGGCACTGCAGCTATGATGGCAATTCGTGGCACAGGCTGGACCACTCTTGACTGGATAAACTTGAGACAAGGGCGCGAATTCCTCCAGCTTGTTCAATACGCAGGGAGCCGTACTTGGGGCTCAGGGCTCGATGTCCCTTCATGAGCTAATCGAGATCCAGAATAAGCGCACTTCGGTGCTTACTATCCCGCTAGACTGTGACAGGACGCGTGTGTCGAGAAGGCGGTCGCAAAAGGGCCATACAGATGCATTTGCCCAGTGCGCTCGACCAAGTCTTCTTGTATCGTGAAGAGCGCCAGTGTACGTTTGGGCCGTTAGGCTACCGAAACGCCGACGTTAAGCTGTTTGAGACGATCTCTTAGTCTCTTCTCCTCGTCGTCCGACTCGTTGGAAAACTGATATGGTTGCAAGGACTACCCTTCAAACATCTCACGCGCAAGGCCCGCCTCACCACCTGCGCCCATTGCCCACAGGTTCTCCACGCTTCCTTTTGACATTGGTTGCTCCGCAGCGTGCGTTCAACTCTAGTCGCTCCCGCAGCGTGCGTTCAACTCTGGTCGCTCCCGCAGCCTGCGTTGACCTTCGTGGTGACCCTCGCTTCGTCGACCTTCTGCGGGCATCGAAACATCGAATGTAGAGGGCCTCTTTCCATATAAAGACCTTGCGCATCTCTCATAAGAGTCGATTCTTCCAAGGTTCCACGGGAAAGGGTCGCTCAGCTCGCAAACCTCAGTGAAACCAGACTTCCTTTTCAATATTATACTCTCCACTTTTTTCATCACTACATATGCAATGATCCTTCCGCGAAGTGTCAGTACGACTACAGAACCCAAGAACAACAAGATGTCCACGGAAACAATCATTGCCCTTGTTGGTGTTGGAGTAGCCACGGTCGGAATCGCCCTTACTCTCGCTTGGCCCAGTCTGCTAAAGTGGCTAGGGAGGCCACGCCGCCAGCCAATCAGTACGTGTCTTGACCGTCTTCTCTTGAGTACTGAGGAGATGCCCATGTCGTTCAATACTAATCATTCTTCTAGATTCTATCGCGCTGCACGCTTCTCCTACGCCCACAGCCGCACCCCCACTACGACAACCTACGAACCATTGGTCGCAACGAATAAGGAGAACAGGCTCGCCTGAAGGCTACTACTATCAGTACGAGCGGCTTGTAGTGCAAGGGTACACGGGATGACTGCCTGCAATTAGAATAATAGACAACAAAAAACCCCAGTATTGCGAAAGCTGGTTTCAATAAGAAGTTTTCTCCGCGAACATTAAATAGTCCGATTTATCTATTCCTTGCTCAAGATGGCGCGTACTCTCTAGTGCAGAGCCAAACTACCTAACATTGCTTTGTACAACTAAACAGTCATATCGAGTCTCCTTCCAGGTAAAAAGGCCTGGAAGTAGTTTCGACCATGTATTCGAGCCATGTGTTTATCATGTCCACACCTTTCGCATTGCCCATGTCAGCCTAGCGAACCATCTCGAGAATCTGTCTCATAGAGCACACCTCGGGCCCCTATCCAACCAAAAAGATCCCTCCATTTCCCAGCGCGCGTAACCTCCAGGACATGAAATGTCTTGAATTCTGCACAGCCACGCCTTACCATCTAGCGGCGCGCAACGATATCGTGAGACTCTGTTCTGACCTGGCATAGAAACCGTAGGCTTGTCAAAAAACCCGTCCTTTCGCAACATGAAAAATAACTACCAACACATCCCTGCAACATCCGTACCAACGCGACAAAAAACCCCCCTTCAAAAACTTCCCCCGCGCATCCTCACCCATCCTGTGCACATCCACACCCCGATCCCAAGCCCCCCATCCATGACCCCTCGACCCGTGACCCTGGCGCGCCCCACCCGCCCCACCCATCAGCGCTACCCACCAAACCGCCCAACGCACCGCAATCCCTCATTTGCCATCATCCGCCCTTGCTGCCTCCAACAAAAAACCTCGGATCCAGCTTCGAGGAGCGCGACGGGTATATATTTCATCAGCGGCTGAAAATTTTCATCCATCAATCAACAGCCCTGTTGGCACAATTGGCTAGCGCGTGAGACTTTTAATCTCAAGGCTGTGGGTTCGAGTCCCACACAGGGCGATTCGGATGGTTTCTTTTTGCCTTTTTTTTTTGCGAGGGTGGATGGTAGAGGGGATGAGGGGTGGCGCGGCAGAGGGGTTTTGGTGGCGGGGGAAAGCGTGCCCCTCTCGAAATGCAGGATGGTGTGAGGAAGCGAAGGCATTACTCGCCTGATGGAACAGTATGGTCTTGTCGCTGCCTGTTGGGCTGGACAGTATGCAAATAGGCTCAGGTATTCTTCTATCTATACTCTTTTGCCCTCGAGTCTCTTCATGGTTTTTGTTCTAGAATGGAGTAACTTTTTCCAGCCCCACAGTCAAATACCTATCTGCACCCATCCTCAAGACAAGACAGATGTCTCTCTATCTCTATTCGTACAAACTACCTACCTAAGCACACACACTCTGTCTTCTCCGTCACTTATATACTACACCCACTACCGCCCCAAAACGCCCTTCAACCCCCTGACCTTGCCCCTCAAATCCCCATACCCCAACCACACAATCCCCTGCGCCATCTTCCACGCCTTCTCGCCAGCCCCCTCCCCAACCAACGGGATATCCATCGGCGGCGGGATCCCCGTCTTAACGCCCGCCCACGCCCACCGATCCCGCGTGATACTCTTCTGATTACACAGACTCCGCAGTCCCTCTTTGCCTGCGAACCGGCCGTAGCCGCTGCCCTTTGTGCCGCCAAAGGGGAGCTGCACCATGTACGTGACGGCGAAGTCGTTGACGGCGACCATGCCGGCGTGCACGCCACGGACGAGGCGCTCGAGGTCGTGCGTGCTGCTGCCGTAGACAGAGGCGCCGAGGGCGTAGGATGTGCTGTTTGCAATGGAGATTGCGTCGTCAACGAATGTGGCGCGCATCATGAGGAAGACCGGGGCGAAGAGCTCCGTTTGTGCGATTTTCATCGAGGGCGTGACGTCGACGATGAACGTGGGCTCGAAGTAATGGCCCTTTGGATGCTGAGGGTGGATGTAGCGTTTCCCGCCGGCGAGGAGACGAGCTCCATTTGCGACTGCGTCTTGGATGAGAGCTTCTAGATGAGAATAGTTTGCGTCGGAGATTGTAGCGCCAATGTCGATGGGTGATGCTGAGGTGGAGTTCAAGATGGACCCAGGACGGAGAGCACGAATCTTGGGCGTGAGGTATTCTACGAGACGATCGTAGACTCTTGGGAGCACAATGACGCGCTCTATGCCGATACAATTCTGACCGGCCGATTGAAAGACACCGCGCATAAGGATGCTGGCTACGCGCTTGAAGTCGCGGTTGGAAAGATTGTCGAGGAGTATCGCGGGGTCTTTACCTCCCAACTCAACACAGACTGGGATAAGGGCCTTCGCCGCTGAGGCGCAAACATGATGTGCTACTGGTCGTGAACCGATAAAGGTAATATGGGATATGGACGGGTGGGAGGTAAGGTGATCTGCGACATCAGGCCAGCAGACGACTGACTGGACAATGTCAGGGGAGTGGCCACATGCTTCAAGAGCCTTTGTAGCGATTGATGTGAAGTAGCTGGACGACCAAGCAGTTGCCTCCGAGCCCTTGACGATAATAGCATTTCCAGCGAATATGCTTGCGATGATGGGCGATATCAGATTATGGAACTGCAGACGGTCAGACACGATATAGTTTTAATCGTTTCATGAAGCATACCGGGTAACTAAACTTCAAGTCAGCTTGAGTAGCATGCCATATCTCTCTCTTACTTACTTCCAACTCACGCACGCCGCAACAACACCCAGCGGCTCCCAAATAACCTCGTTCCACTTGTACATGAGCAAGAAATTCGAAGCTCTCCTCTCCGCCTTCAGACTCTCTTCGCCATGCTTGAGGGTCCACCTCAGCTTCTCCACCGTCACCAGTATCTCGCCCAAACTCGCGTCCACCATCGTCTTGCCAGAGTCCAAGCATGCGACCCGCGCAATCGTCTCTTGGTTGTCAAGCACAAACTTGAGTATGGTACGCAGCACCTTGCGCCGCTGGCGGAACGTCGTTTGAGCCCATGTTTTCTGAGCCGTCTCGGCCTTTGCGATTGCGCGGTCAATCGAAGCAGGCGTGGAGGGGTTGATGCGGCCGAGGGCTTCGCCGGTCGCGGGCGCGTAGCACTGGATGAGAGCGGAGCCAGAGACCTAGAGCTCATCAATCTCCTATATCATATGCATATTCTGGAATCCTCGTACCTTTAACCCCGGCGTCTCGAGCACATCGCCCTTCCAGCCTGGTTCCGCCTGCTCAGGTGGTTCGACGACATACTTGACGGGGTCCTCAGGATCGGCGCGACAAAAGATCCAAATAAAAGAGAGAGCAGCCACCCAGAGCGCACTGTAGAATACGACGCTGAAGTCGTTGTCCGCTCGAGCTGTTATGCGCTCCATGGTGCGCAATTGGCAATACTGAGCACTCTTGTGTCCAACACGGTTTCCACAGGGTTCACGGTGCCGTCTGAAGTGGTTTAGCGCCGTAACGCGTGATCATCTGAAACGGCTCGCTCAAACAGGAGTTCCGCTGGCGCCAAAGAGCCGCTGCGGAGGACGGCGCTTGGCGAATGGGAGATTTTGGGAGACGGTTCCGCTGGTTACTTCAATAGGCAGGTTTGCACTTTCCTGTCGATTACTGGGGAAAGACCCCCGGAGCCATACAGAGCGTGCGACGGGGTGGACATGCTTGCGGACCAATAAATTCTTGGTTGTGCGAGTTACCTAAGGATTACACCTGATCCAGCTCATTCTTGATTTTCGATGGCTTTTTTGGTTCGTTACTTGCTGGTAGAGGCTTAAAAGACTAGACGAACTGGCTGGTCATGCTAAAGAGAATCTGAAGGAGTCACTGAGATGTAAAATTTATGACAGTGAGTTGTAACGGAAAGAGCAGATATATGTACATCTAGCCAAGGGTATCATAAGAATCTTATACACGACTCCCCCGTTAGAATGATGTGCCCTTGAATAAGCAGACATAAGGAATGAGACTTTCCCCTCCCTATAATAAGGAATTGATTCGCTTTCCCGACACAATCTAGCGCCGCTTGTATCCCACGAGTTGTCGAAGGCAAAAGTGACAATCTCGAAATACCATATCCCTCACAAAGAGTCTCCAGCGAAGAGGTTCAAGGATGTATACACTGTCATACCGACGATTATCTTCTGGATGGCCTTCGAGCCACTGGTGGAAATCTTGCTGGATGATCGTATACAATAGCAGAGATCGAGATTTACATCTGCTGTTCGATATAAAGGCGCCTGTGGTGGTCTTGTCCTTGAAAATTGAAATGCGGTCCAGATTGTTGAGAGATCCACAGGCATCTACAGCACCATTTCGACAAAAAGCTCGATAGTAGCCGCGCATCGATCCTCGTAGTCGCCAGTCTCCAGATCATCGTAGCCAAGCTCTTATCCTCAGCGGAAGTAACATACGCCCAGTCGAACATTGAAGTCCCCCCTCTTTCATTGCCCATTCTTCACACTGGCACTCTCATCCTTCCCCGATCCCGTCGCCGTTGCCGTTGCCGTTCCATTTCCACTTCCACTACACACAACCCTAATCACCGTCTCCCCCCACGTCGAACAGCATCGAAAGCAATAATTACTTTGTTCAGGCCACTATGCTCACCGTTAGCCCAGTCTCTCGCTTCTTCTCTACTCCCTCCGAAGCCAAAGACTCCCAGAAAAACCCAGGACATTCCCGCCGCCACAATCCCCGTCCTCCTCTTTCACATTGCCCTGCTTACCCCCAGCGCACTCGCAACCCGAAATCAAGAACCAGGAACGGAAGAAAAAGAGCAAGAAACAAGAAAAAACATACAAAAGCCTCCGGACAAACCAACCCCACAGTCCCACACTGATCAAGACACACCTTCCTCCCCCTCGGATTAACAAGCGCATCTTTCGGATCCGTCCACGCCGCCGCGGCCGCGACTCCCCCGCTCCCGAAGCCTACGCACACCAAGAGCAGAAGAATCGGTAGCAGGCGTAGGCATATGCGTAAAGGATTCCAAGGCGCCATGCTCGCAGCCAGACCAGACAGAGGCCGGAGATGTTGTTTGATAGCGCGGGTGCAGCTGGATTGGCCTTGCCCGGACCAAGTAGACCAAGTAGGTAGGTACCCAAGACGACCTAGGCGCGTGAGAAAGCCAGACAAGCGACGCCAAAGCCAAAGCCTGAACCAGAAACAGCCGTTGACATCTCAGTCGTCGTACAGTCGTGTTGGAAAGGTCCGTTTTATCGCGGCACGAGGGCGCGAGGTTGACGTGCAGGTGTGGGTTGGCGGATAGGTGGGTGGGTGGTCCTAGCGGGAGGAAGGCAGCTAACGGCTAGAGCGGCTGGCGGACGCGGGACGGATGGCATGCATGGGTGGGATAAAAGCAAGCAACAAGGTAAGCAGCAAGGCAAGCGGAAATGATGTCACTTTGAAAATGGGTATAGCATGCTTTTAGTAAATGGACGCTGGATATGAGGATGGAGTGGGATATTTTGGGAATAAGTGAATGAAATGTGTAGGTTCGAGGTTGGAATGCTTTGGCACAATATTAAAGGTAGTCGAGTTTATTTATAAAGTATTTGAGCTCTCAGAAAGAAGGAAAATCATAGATGTATTCATGTAATCAACAACAAGAATAATGCAAGTAGTTGTATATTTATCTGGCTAGTCATTCATTCGTCCAAATGCCACTGATTCCAACTCCAACACCCAACTATTTTCTCCCTAGCACAACACAATCAACCCATATCTACTCTCTAAGCCTCCTCCGGCGCCGCTACACGTCCAGCAACAAGTGCAATGAGCGCCGCGCCAACACCGCTCCCATCCTTCGCAATGCCAATCCTAATCCTCTTCTCGCCCGCCTCCCCAATCTCAGGTACAGCCTTCAGCGCCTCACGAATATACTCTTCGAAGTTCGGATAGAACTCGACCAGGCTGCCATCAACACCGACGTCAATGACATCTTCCTCGTTGACTTCTGTGGTGGATGTTCCAACAGACTGGGAGAGGCGACCAGTGTTAATGACA